TACACTTCACTGCCCGTGGACAGTTACGACTGTAGCGCCCCTAGCGGATTGTGATCTACCTATTCTGACTGTACAAAACTGGAAAAAGTCACCCCCCCTTCCACAAACAAATATTTTTCAACTGCGTGTCACTGGTTACTGCAACCTTTCAGCTGCCTATCCAAACAGAAGAACTGGAAACGATCGAGTGCCCCCCCCCCCCCCCGGACCTTTTAAAGTTGTGACCTAATTTTGAGACCTCAATTTTAAGTGACAATGTTCATCACACAACACGTCCTCCATACCAAAGGTCGAGGTCAAAAACTAGGTACAAGTCAGGGATTCCCTCCAAGTCAGGGCACGATCTTCCACACTAAGACTGCACATTTTCTTCAGTTTACATTTGAAAAAAAAAAAAGACATGTTGCCACATAACCTGTCGATGAGGAGCAACTTGAGTAATTACCTGAGGCGTAAACCAAAAAGTTTCCCACGGCCTTTCGTCCATCAATTACGAAATTCCTCCCATTAGTTTTGAACCCCAACCCTCACCTATAAATCCATCAAAATAGCATAAAATTTAGCCTCTCACCTACGTATCTCCGCCTTTTCGTTTTTTCAGGATCTCCATCTAATACATAAGTCATTACATGGACAGGAAAAGTGGCTCTGTTCCTCTCCTTCTGGAGATCGGGATTCACCTTGGCCGTTCCCGGCATCTTGCTTGTCTTGTTNTGAGTTCCACCTCCTGCTAGAGTGCAAAGCATATGATTCAATACGTGATCCCTTCAGAGGGCAGCTGTCAGAGTTCCTACCCCTAGGCGATTTCAGCTTTAATGAACTGTATAATTTTCTTATGGGTGCTCAAGACTTAAATATTTCTTAGAATGGTTATGCGTTTTGTAAATAGATGCTTCCAACAATGGGAACAAACCCTCTCTTATCGCCTGTAGATTATCATTACACATTTTATATATATCACTTTATAAACTCATTTATTAGTATTATTATACATTTATCTAATTGGGTCTAAATGCGTTTCCACGTCCTGCAAATTTACGTATCTGTAGCTGGAGTTGTCTGTTTTACCTCTATGATTGTACTTTGGCCCATTTTTAAACACGTATTCATCTATATCGCATCAAAATCATGTATATTTATTCATTTACTTGTTTGTACTCTGCTATAGTTAGATGTACAGTACTGTCTTTGATTGTACCTTATTTGTGAAGGTGTATCAATAAAGAATCCCTAGGGATATAGCATACATGTATATTTTCCTAGATATTTTGCTGTAAAACTACATCTCGGCGGCGCCACTCGGAGCTACTCGGATGTCTCCGCACTCGACAGTAAGTATGGTTAGTATGGAGCTTGCGGAATGAGCCGAGGATTGCCGATTGCGGCGGCGCTGGGGGCCGCCATGTTGGATTACTCACTTCCGTCCCGCTGCCGTATATGATCTAGTGCTGACCCTTGTCTTGTTGTGAGTGCCTCGAACTTCCAAACCTCCTTTTATAGGAGAGCGCTTATCGTCGTCTGCGAGGTCAAAAAATAGGACTTGTGGTGGAGAATAAGTTGAACAAAAAGTCCATCAAGTTTGTATATCTATTAATGAGCCTTTTAGAAGTTTTTTTAAATTACTTACTCTTAATTTAAGCGAAAGGTGCCGCCCACTTTCTCATGAAATAGTGGATTATCTGTGACAAAATTAGTTTGTTTTGACAGGCGGCGGTTAGTGTCCGCCCTTCCCCCTAGATTTTTTTTTTTGAAAAATAATTCATTTGCTGGGGGTGGAAGAAATTGCGCTACAAACTGTTTGATATGAATTGTTTGTCTTTTTTCCGCCGTAAGTCTCTCTTGAGCCACTTTTCCTACAGTCAGCTATTGAGTAGGAGGCCTATAGGCCTACGGTATGTACATGTACAATTGAATGTAGGCTAGATACGTGTTTAAGCAGACCTTATCAACAGGGGCGGATCCAGGATTATTTGAAGTGTGTGTGTGTGTGTTGGGGGGGGGGGGAGAGAGGGGGTGCAGATGCGAAGCCGATCCTCCCCCCCTCCCGGCGTGGGGATTTTTTAGAGGGCGAACGGTGCCATTAGGCCTACTGTTTAGAATAATGATTCAGCCGGTCAAAATTCTAATTTCAAGAGGGGAACTTTAGGCCTAGGTTTCGGAAATCGAAGAGGGGGGGGCAGGACCCCCCCCCCCCTGACCCCTCCATCTAAAACCTCCGATGAACTGATGTAATAACTGAAAATGTAATATGTCCATTTATTGTAGGGGGCCTATAATTGATGAAACATAATAACATAAAAGGCCCTATACAGTAAAAATTATGAAAAAAGTAGGCTTGACATTCATGCTATACAACATAAGCAAGGTCGCGATATTTCCATTTCATCGTCAAACATTCCATTCAGTCGTGTTGCCCTAGGCTGCGCTCATTTCAATTATAGAAACATTACTTCAGACATGCTGAAAACCTTTCAGAATGGCCGGATATTTGGACAGGCAGTAATGAAAAATTTGCCGCATAGATNTCCATCTAAACCTCCGATGAACTGATGTAATAACTGAAAATGTAATATGTCCATTTATTGTAGGGGGCCTATAATTGATGAAACATAATAACATAAAAGGCCCTATACAGTAAAAATTATGAAAAAAGTAGGCTTGACATTCATGCTATACAACATAAGCAAGGTCGCGATATTTCCATTTCATCGTCAAACATTCCATTCAGTCGTGTTGCCCTAGGCTGCGCTCATTTCAATTATAGAAACATTACTTCAGACATGCTGAAAACTTTTCAGAATGGCCGGATATTTGGACAGGCAGTAATGAAAAATTTGCCGGATAGATTTTTGTCGGACCGAAAATCACCCTATTCGTTTGAGACAGATACTACCAGTATGACTAGGTACTGAGTAGTTTACTTTGTTTGTGAATGTGATAGGAAGTGATTTGAAATGGAAGAGAAAACGCTTTGGGTTTTAAATATTTGTATTAGTGAAGTAGCCTATGTCGAATGATGACTGTAGATTCGAAATTGAGGTTCTTAAAACTGTTTAATTTTTTACCGGTCCAAACAAATTTTCCTAGTCATGACTGATCGGACCGACAGTTTCAGCATGTCTGTTAATTTATTATTGAAAGAACTTTATAGGCTTTAGCTAACTCTACTTGTACTTTTCTACAAATAAATTCAGCCAATGCCTTGTTTTCTTCTCTTTAAGACTAGCTAGACCAAGCACTGCAATGCGGAAAGATGCAGAGGAACTTAAGAGAAGGGAGGAAGCCGCTATCGAACGCCGCAGAGAATCAATGCTTCATCATGCGGCTGCAATAAGAAAAAAGCTTGGCAAAGCTGCTGATGTAATTAGTTTTTTTATTTCATGAGCTAAAATTCACTCATTTCATTAATATTGCCTTATGCAGATTTAATTGAAGAGGCGCGTTTAAGTACTTATTACTGCATCCCTTTTGTGGTAATTCATTTTATTCTTTGATGTTTGCAAAACTATACATAGGTAAATGAGAGACAGATTCAATTAAAATGTCTTTATGTGCATGATTAGCAATTACAATTGTAGATCAAATATAAAACCAGCTGACTTGTTTCTTTATCTTAGGTCCCGCGTGTGAAAGCTGTGCGCATAGCAACCATGCAAGAAGCTACCTCAGAGACGTACAACAAGAAACACGAGAAAGCCGCTAGGCGGCATCAGGAACGCTTTGATAAGAACAAGGAGGCTCTGGCTAAAAAGGACAAGAAAAGACAGCAGGTAAACAAACTTCCGTGTTTCATTCTCATTTTTAATGATCTCTTTGGGTTTTTTTTTTTTTTGATACAATTTAAAACCTGCAAACCGAAGGTGTTTAAAATGCTACATGTAACAGTATGGACAGAAATAATTAGAGGTGCAGACGCAGGTCCGTAGCCCGGGGGTGGGGGGGTGGGGGGGGGGGGTAAAACGCATGGATGTAAGGTGCCATTTAAATGTTTTAAAACTCTACAACAGAAAGGAAGCATAACCCGCCTTAAGAAAACAAACGTTCATCATTGTGGCATCATTTTTCCCAGATCCTTCAAAGAAAGTCGGACAAAGAAAACGCCGCTACCAAAACAGTTTCCTTTTCTGATGACGATGAAGATGATGAAGATGATGATAATTGTGCCATTTCAGAGTGGCACACCGTAAAAAGTTGTAAGATCGTGAGTCCCTGGCGTGGATGAAATATGCCCGTAAACTCACCAACTGCACATCTGAGCCTGCCACATCAAAATTTTTAAGGGAATGCTTTTTAATCAAATAAGGACGAGATAATTATAATAAGCGAATCAGTAGAATTCGTAGAATTCCTTGTTGTTAAATGTAAATATTCAATATTTTGCTGTGAAGATATTTAAATTGATTACAAAAAAAATAAATAAATAATAATAATAATAATAAAATGAAAAAAAAAACGCTTGAATAAAATTACGTCAATCTTGAATAAGACGCCTTTTACATGTAGTTCGTTTTTTAACCTGCAGGTATTACTCTGGTTTATTTTGTTTAAACAAGTTAAAAACTTGACAACAATAAAGCGTAAATGGAAGTCCAATGCTATCTTTGTGAGAATAATGTTTTGAATATGTTTTGAAAATGTTTTGAAAAGAATGTTTTCTTTGTGAAATCCATGACTCGAGATCCCAAACGGCAGTGAGGTCCTATCACTTATGAAGACCTTGGTCATACCAATTATTAAAATAACCTGCTTGCACGAAGGGCCCATATACTAGTACCCTATTGTAGACTTCAACAGCTGCCTCAAGCTTAGACCTACAAGGCCTACTCAGCCATCGACCCTGAGAGGTGCGTGTTTCATCCAAGCAGCAAAGTCAATCAATTTTTATTTTTATTGATTTCAATCAATACGTAGGCCACTTTTCATTATTTTGTCAATCGTTTTTCTCAGGCCCTATTTATTTATTTATTTATTTATTTATTTATTTATTTATTTAAGCCTCTTCCCTATCTATATTCGCCCTGTTTATTTATTACAGGTGTACATGCGCCTACCACACATTTAAGTAAATGCTCTTGTTTTTAAGAAAGCGAAAGACCACAGCTGCATTTGATGATTCAAGATTCAAATTCCAATAGGTCTTTCTACAATAGACTGCCTGAAATTGACTCAAGAGCCATGTAATTGTATGTCCAATTCTTTTACAATCATGGGTATTCTGATGTAACCTACTGACAAACTTTATGAGTATCAAAATAATAATAATAATAATAATAATAATAATTATAATAATAATAAATACTATAAAAGTAATCTATTGCTCTATTTGGTTTCTGTTTTCGTTATTCGGTTTAAATAGTCTTTCGTGATCATATAGATAAGCGCGATGTGGCTGAGGCGTTTTTCCGTGGCATCTCCATCATCTCGATCGTTGGTGAAATGTGGTATTCTTTTTCATCGAGTTTGCGTTTTGTGCGTCTGGAATCAATAATGGTAATGATGAAATTAAGGCTAGTCAGTCCGACCCCTCA